GTACTAGAGCTAACTAGGCACAAACTGACGAGCATTGTGATTTGCCGGGGGGTAGGAGGGTGGAGCCCCTCTTCTGCTAGGGGGTACAGGGGTCTTCCCCAGGGTACAAGGGTTGTCCCCCAGAAAGGTTTTGTAGAAGACATTCAATTGTATAAAATACATGTAACTTTGATATGGATCATAAGATTAAAATTTTAATTAAATTAAAATTTTGGCCTCCTTTGTCTTTGATGAGGAATCTGTGGATCCGTCACTTATCACAGCAAGGAATTTGGACTCATTTATAGCTACAAACTGTTCCTGACGCCTTGTATCGGCTACGCCGTAATGAACCTCTGGCAGGCCTTGTCGGTGAGGTAAGTGCTGCCGACATCTAATCCCTTGGCCTTGTCAAGCTAGCACAGCTTGGCGTAATCGGTGTAGGGCCTGCCGTTTTTTCCAATAGCATGTGCATTTCTAATGGGGTTCACCATTTACTAATCGCTGGAAAGATGGCGCGCGTGCACTGTCCGGTATCACTGCTAAACAATGGCATCTAGTTACGAAGGAAAAACCGTAAATGAATTGAAATCAGAGTTGCAAAGTAGAGGTGCAAAGACATCTCGGAGGAAAGCTGATCTGCACATACACGTACGCTTGCGTGCGTGTGCACGTACGGTACACGTGGGCGCATGGGTGCATGCGTGCTTGCGCACGTACACGCATGTGCACGTACACGTCCGTGCGTGCGTGTGCACCAGCCTAAAAATTACTTCTTTTTTTTACGAGAGATTTTGTATGAAAAAAGAGCTCTCGTCATTTTTTTTACGGGAGCTATTTTAGGCTTGACCAGAGCTACTTTTTCATAGCATAATTTTGTAAAAATTTTCATAATATTGATGCACTGACTCTAATATCATTCATCAGCATTCAGCACTCAGCACTAGTATCACTATCAGATTATCAGTGTTAAGAAATCGTCAACAAATTACATTCGATCACATTTTTTTTATCTAATTAATTTCACTCGACTAAGAAACCAATCACATTCTTATTCAATTTCATTCACACAGACAGACATGCACTACACAGTACACATAGTAAGCAGTGCTCGAAATAAGCGTTGTCCGGTTGTCCGAGACAACCAGAATTTGTGCCGGACAACCTAACCAGTCTGAGACATTGTCCGGTGGACAACCAAGAAAAAAGTTGACGAAAAAACGCACTAACACATGAGAAGTCACACGGGAGAGAAACCATATAAGTGCGCGCTGTGTGATGCTACCTTTGCACACTCGGGTCACCTGAAGAGACACATGAGAAGTCACACGGGAGAGAAACCATATAAGTGTGGTCTGTGTGATGCCGCCTTCTCAACATCGGGTACTCTGAAGACACACATGAGAACTCACACGGGAGAGAAATCATATAAGTGCGATCTGTGTGATGCCGCCTTCTCAGATTCGAGTGCTCTGAAGTCACACATAAGAAGTCACACGGGAGAGAAACCGTATAAGTGTGATCTGTGTGATGCCGCCTTCTCAACATCGGGTGCTCTGAAGCCACACATGAGAATTCACACGGGAGAGAAACCGTATAAGTGCCAGCTGTGTGATGCTGCCTTCATACAATCGGGTTCACTGAAGGTACACATGAGATCTCACACGGGAGAGAAACCATATAAGTGCGATCTGTGTGATGCTACCTTCTCCCGCTTGGACCA